ACTGGTCTGGTAAGGTCTGGTTTCTTTGTATTTTTATAACTATCCAAGTCTGGTCTAGTCTGGTCTGGTCTGAACTGGTCTGGTCTGGACTGGTCTGGTCTGGGGCAAATTACAATCCAAGTAAAAACATCCTTATTCTGTTTGACGTGAGTAGGGTTGGGTCTGAAAAATCTAAAATTGAAAACCAAATCAAATTAAACCCAACCGCTAAAAAATTGAAACCAAAAGATTTTGGAAGCGTAGTCAAAGATGGTTTCTTCAATTACAAAAGACGAGTAATTAATTAGGCCAACGTGTATAAACTTTGCCAACTGGGATGATCCTTTTGATCTTTAAAATTATACCGTACAACCGGCTGTACGGTGAGCACCGTACAACCGGGTATTTTTGAAATTCAATACAACTTCCAGCCTAAGGATGTTTTCTTTTGGACTGTTTTCAGTCCCAGACCAGACCAGACCAGACTTAAACAGACCAGACCAGACCAGACTTAAACAGACCAGACCAGACCAGACCAGACTTAAACAGACCAGACCAGACCCAACCAGACTTCCGTAGTTATAAAATGCACAGAGACCAGACGTTTACCAGACCAGACCAGACCAGTTCAGACCAGACCAGACCAGACCAGACTTAAACAGACCAGACCAGACCAGACCAGACTTAAACAGACCAGACCAGCAAATTTCAGTCCAAAAGAAAACATCCTAAATGGTAGAGTTGCTCCCTGTTTTCCTTCTATTTTCTGCCGTTTCCGTCCATTTCTTTCTTTTTTTTTCTGCCGTTTCAGACTTCAGTTCGTCTCTATTGTTTCTGCCGTTTCGGTTCGTTTCTTTCTTTTTTTCTGCCGTTTCTTTCTCTCCGTTGTTTGCTGTTCCTGATTTTGTTTTGTTTTTATTTTTTTTTCCGTACGTCTCTCTTGCTTGTTACTTCTTGTTCTTTTCGTTTCTTTTTTCTTTTTTTAGTTTAACAATCTTTTTGCTTATATTCAATTAAATGAAAATCTAAAATATAAATTATTATTTATTGTTGAAGTTTCTTTTTCAATAAATGACTTATTTTTTTAATTTATGTATTATAAAATATTTTAGATATTAATACATTTATGTGTCTGCGGAGTAAGTGTGATCAGGTTTGCTTCCGTGGCTCTCGCAACCACTTCATCACAATGAGTTTTATGTTAAATTCAAATGATAACTCCTAAAATGAATGTGCAAAGACAAATGAGCTTTTGACGTTTTCGATACTCATTTTGTAAGTTGTGTATGCTCATTTGGTACCGGTCTTATGCTCATTATGTTTTTACATAAGACTTGATTATAGACACGACATCACAGATCATGATGCTCAACCGCATAATTCTAATACTCATTAGAGGAGATTTGATACTCAATTAAAATATGAACAAAAAAACTTGTGATTTTCATATCAATGCTCATTTTATATGTTACATATGCTCAATTGGTACCGATGTTATGCTCATTTTTAAAATGTCATAACAATGCATTATTTCAAAAGTACTATATTACATTAGATTCACATATTGAAATTCATAAGAATTGATTATAGATATAATTCAATGAGATTTTATAAAAGAAAAAATATGAAAAAGAAAGTGATATCACAATACTCATTATTTGACTCTCAATACTCATAGAATACGTCTGATGTTCATTAAAAGTGTATTAATGCTCATCTAAAGAAAACCAGGATTTTCACTGAAATTACGAAAATGTCACCGTTTTTAGTTGTGATATCAGCTTTCTTGTAATAACATGGTGCTCATTATTGGATGCTTAATACTCATTAAAATTGGACTATTGCTCATTAACAATACACTAATGCTCATTTAGCAGAAACCACGATTTTCACATTAATTACAAAAATGCCACCGAATTATTTTGCTATTTTTCCCTTGGGCCTGTTACTAGGCCGGCTGTACAGTGCTCACCGTACAGCCGGTTGTATAATATACATGCTCGGGTGTGGGCATCTCAAATTTAAAGAGTAGGGGTATTTTCTTAAACAAGACAATCAAGTATAGGGTGGAGAGGTCACACTTAGTCTAAATTCAGGGTATTTTATTTATTTTTCCCTAAGATTAATGCTTACATTTAACAAATAAAATTTCATATTTTGTTTTAGTTTGGTTCGTTCGGTTCGGTTCGGTTTTGACGGGTAAAAACCAAAACCGAACCAAACTACTACGGTTCGGTTCGGTTTTTTACATTGGATTTCTTTCAGGGAACTTCCAAGCTCTTGAGATCACAGAAAACAGAGAAGACGATGTCAGTCCCTACTAAAACAATAAAACCCATCTGCAGCCGCACCTGTAACGGATTCAAAAACCTCTTCGATAGAACTTCCAAGCTTTTGCGATTGTTGAGTACTGGCGGTCGTACCCATACTAAAAGATTATATTATAAGTTTTTACTGTTATTAGTAGCAACTAACTTTTATTTTTATATATGTAACTTTTTTTTTTGTAACTGAAATTTTTTATATTGATAAAACAAATAAATATTCATCTCAACGACATCACATAGTACATATGCATTCATAAACCTTTTTCAAACTACTCACAAGTAATGTAAATTAAGAATATACACACACACACAAATACTCACACACTTTTATCTCTCACGAATACTTATATGATTCAAGACATAAATGTTTATTACTCCAGATTATTTTCTTTATTTGTTATTTTGTTCAAGTATGCTTGCATTTTTAAGTGATATGTTTGATCCCTCCAACTTTTATATCAATTTTAAATCAAATGATTTTTGTAAAAAAACCGAAAAAACCGAAACTGAACATAAACAAACCGAACTGGTCAAACCGTGATTCCAAGTTTTGGAGTGTAAAACCGAACCGAACTTTTACTTTGATTCCATATTTGGTTTTAGGTCAAAACCGAACCGAAAGAACCGAACCCACCCCTAGACCCGAGGGCATTACACGCTTTGAGGCCGTTTGGCAACACTATTTTTTTGACTTATCAGGCTTACCAACCAACTTTTTGCCAAACACGTAATTTTTACTTCCGCGCGCTAAATTGTATAATAAGTAGAAAAAGAAAGGTTGGAGTTACTTTTATGGCTGTTGGCTGAAGTTACTGTAGATGACCATTTTAGCTATTTTACATAAAAAAAATTCTTTATTTTATTAATAAAATACGAAGTATATTTTAAAAAGTTTTTTTTTCTTAAATCAGCATAATCAGCCAATGCAGCCACTGCATCCAGAACTTCATAAATTTTAGCAGAATCGGCCAAATTAGCCGATTTTCGTGCTACCAAACGGGCTCTTAATTGGATTAAATTTAAGAAAAAAGCTAGTTGTATTCAAAAACTTTAAACATTTTATATATACACTTCCTCTAATGTAACAATGTGCATTGTCCACACTCTTGCAATGAAGATGCTCTTAGTTGTGGGTTTTGTGTCCACAAGCAGCTCGTTTAGCAGCTACTTGTGTACACAAATAACTAGGCATGTTTACGCAAAAATGTATACAAATTTCATGTACAAGTAGCATGCTGCAAATTTAAACGGAGTTTCACAAAAATATTAGAACCTGCCTCCTAATTTGATTTGCAAAACCATTTTTTCTGTTCAAACAGTTTCATTTTACTCATTTTTAGAGCCCATTTGATAACGTCAAAATTGGTTGAATCGATTGATACTGTTGATATTTATAAAATTCTAGTTGAAGTAATTTAAAGTATATAGTGTTAATAAGCATACACATAGGAGTAGTCCTGGACTCGGGCCGGTTCGGGCCCGGTTCGGGCCTGGGCCCGGCCGGGCCTCGGGCCAGGAAATGGGAGGCCCGGGCCCGAACCGCCGGTGGCCGGTTCCGGTCCCGGTTCCGGGCCAAACCGGGCCGGGCCGGGCCGGGCCGAACCAGCCCACTTAATTTTTTTTTTTATTTTTGTTCTCCTATTTAATCCCCTACCCCTCCCCCTCAACCCCAAACCACCCCAAACCACCTCAAATGGCCCAAAATACCTATTCCAACCCAAAACTTTAAAAAAATTTCAAAAAAAAAAAAAAAAATTAAAATCGGGCCCGGACCGGGCCCGAACCGGCCGGGCCGGTTCACCATTTGGAAGGCCCGGGCCCGGAACCGGGAACCACCGGGCCGGTTCGACCCGAACCGCCGGTGGACCGGGCCACCGGGCCGGGCCGGTTCCGGGTCGGGCCGCCCGGCCCGAGTCCAGGCCTACATAGGAGTGACATTAAAGCTTATGGGAAATGTCACGTTGGAGTGATGCTACATTCCTTCTTGCTACATTCCTTCTTAAAAGGATGTTTGGATCTACTTCTTCAAACTGTTTCAACACTAAGCAGATTTTTTTTAGAAAATGAGGGAGACCAACAACTTCTGAAAAACTGATTCTAATTCTGCTTATAAAAAAGAAGCAGAAGCATAATCAATTCCAAACACCCCAAAATCACATATTGTGAGACGTTATTATGGAATATTGGCATGTGAACTATTTTGGGATAAGGGTCAGATAGGGCCCCGACTTTGAAAAAAAATGTCAAATAACGCCATATTTAGGATGCTCTGTCCGGCCGACGCCATTTGGGGTGGTTCCCGGTGGAATTTTTTGATGAATTTTTTTGAGAATCTTATTCATTAAGTCTAGTTTACTCATATCAAATTTGAACTAACAATTCAATCGGGAAGGCATTCAAATGAATTCATGAAGATAACTGCGCTTTTAACAGTACAGTTATCTTCAAGAATTCATTTGAATGCCTTCCCGATTAAAGTTTTAGTTCAAATTTGATATGAGTAAACTAGACTTAATGAATAAGATTCTCAAAAAATTTCATCAAAAAATTCTACCGGGAACCACCCCAAATGGCGTCGGCCGGACAGAGCATCCTAAATATGGCCTTATTTGACATTTTTTTTCAAGTTCGAGACCCTATCTGACCCTTATCTCAACTATTTTTAACTCATTATGAGGTCAGCTGATTCGCGAATAGGATCTAAATAGAGTTTATAAAAAATTGATTACCACATGAACAATGGTGAAATTCCCGTTCAACAAGTGAAATAATGAACTGATCATATCGGGATTGAAAACAAAGCCTTGTGCAATTTGTAACTTACGTGCACATCACATAAATCACAAAGGCATGACTAAAGCAAAAGGAATCTTGAGCACTAATTCCAAATTGCCAATAACTTGGAGCACTAATAGCACCTTGAATGTAAACTTAGCAGGCAAAGCAAATCCTGGGTATCAGTAGGCAAAAGAAACCTTGTGGAAAGCAAGAAAATATTCTCTTAACTTGCCCATAACTGTCAAATTCTCCTTCTGTTGTCTACTCGAGCTTTCTTGGATGTTCCAGCTTCTGATTCTTCTGCACTGGATTTTATCTAAAGGATATGGAAAGTTAATGGTCATATTATGTCCCTTTGACACTTGCAAGCAAGCCTATGTAAAATTCTTATTACCTTGCTTAGTTTATCCCTAACGAATTGAACGGTTTGGTTCATAGATTGTGATGGAAAATATTCCTGTGAACAGATAGAGATAAAAATTATTTTCTACAAACAATACTTCTCAACATCCATACTTTAGTTTCTTCTCTAAAAGGGAAAAATGCTCTGAAACAAAATAATATTCTCTTAGAAAACTAGTGCAATGAATTCCATTTTATGATCTAACCTTTTCAGTAGATACTGCACAAATACTCATAGAAGCATCTCTGTTATAGTTGGTCTCTTGTGACTTCATGAACTGACTACAGGAAATATGGGGTAATGCATTAGCAAGTAGAATTTTTTTTAAAACCACTCCACGGCTCCACGCCCTTTTTTAAAATTACCTTTGATTAATACCCAATGTTTTAGAGGTGCAGTGTATATGTGAGGAAGTTGAAGATATTATCGATGTGCTCACACCATCTAGCCTGCGGATTGCAGGACTTATGCACCTTTGAGCTGAAATATCATTAGTAGCAAATAAATTATTTTGGAAGGGGGAAATACCAAACGCAAATAAAAATATTCTCTCCATCCCAAAATATTTTTCGTTTAAGCAAAACAAAATAGACATTCTGTGTCCAAATTTAGAAATTCAATGAATATTTTTTTATTACTCTTCCAAATTTGGACATATTAACTCTTTCTTTATTACATGCTTTTGTACCTTAAAAGGGAACAGATCATCAAAACACAACTAATGTTAAACTTAAATATGGACAGAAGAGCAATTTTGTAAGGTTCCTCCAAATATAGGTGCACTTTTCTAAATTCTAACACGTCAATTATTGAGATTTAGGATGGAGTACATGTCAATAACTTACACTTAGGTCGTGTTAGAACTTCCCTTCTCCTGACTTCCAATTTCTCCTTTGTATCAGAGAGGCTCTCATATTGAGGTGCATATGAGACCTGAATCCTGTTCCCTAGGAATACAAACTCATCCAATTTCCTTTTAGCATACCTATATAAAAGTTTATTCATATTTCTAATTAAACTTCAAATATATGGCATGATGAGCATTGCTAATTTTACACGATAACTAGTTTGATGTTACCTGTACAAAGACCAACGATCTGAACCCACAAAGAAGATAATTTATTCAGTATAGATGTATTTAGATGTGCTTCCTGTTTAAAAAGTGTTGCTGCACCAGTTTCCTAACAAACGTTTATACTCTTACTGCTATAATCTCATTATATTTTCAAATATCACAAAATTAGACCGGCCTTATTATTTATGTGGCAGACTCGCAGTGTTGAACTATTTACAAAAAATAATGAAATGATGAAGATGGATTTATCATACAGATGTTGGCTTTTATATTCAAGATGAGGTAAGGGATAACTGACTTCGTTGATTTGGGCATTTCGTCAACAATAACTAGAGGTGTGTTGGAACAGTGAAGATACAAAAAAGAAGTCAAGGAAAAGGAAATTATATGGAATTGAGGGGTAGAAAAAGAGACCTTAAGACGCAGAGAGTACATGGCACAACAAAGAGGTGGAATAAAAAAATACTCTTGAATGACCTCATGAGGTTACCTCTTGGTCCATGTAGATGACCCTATTGATTTGGATTTAAAGCTTTATGGTGTTGTTTATTGTTCAAGATAAAAGATTGCCTATATTTCTATTAGTTCTATAGAAGTTTAGTTTACTATACAGAGGGATTAGCAGATTCCATTGCTAGTTGCTACATGAAATACAATACTAAGGAATTCAACCTTCTTTCTTTTTCGGGGGGGTTTCTCCCTCCTCCAACTTTGGAAGAATAGAATGTTAATGATGTTACCTGGCATTGTCTATCCTTTGAAACTTGACCCAGTAAACATCAGTAAATGGTTCACAGTCTTCAGCATCCATGGGTTTACATCTGAGTAAAAGCAAAAATTATACTCAGTACAATTGTATAAAAAGAATACATAAAGATCAGTATTTGGGACTATCTCAAATACATGGTCTGACTGAGCTTTTAGACTACCCCAACAAAGCTAATAAAGAAAATATTGGATATTATACCTTTTAAAAAATTGTTGATACACAGAATAGCTATGGTGGGGTAAGGGGGGGTCGGATGTACGCAGTCTTACCCCTGTACTAGAGCACAGAGAGACTGTTTCCGTATGACCCATAATGAAAATTGCGTCCGAAAATTGCATTGACTAACTGCTGCTTCATAACAAAGAAGCACATAAATAAACTAAAATAATGGTTGCCATGACATAATACTCACTCCGTCTCACTAGACTTTCGTAAACTTTGATTATTTGGCAGCCCCAATTTTTTCGTCAATTTCCCTTTAAATAACAAATTTGTAGTTAATATCATTCTCTCTCATCGTCACACTTTAATTACAACTTCAGCTTTCTTTTATTAAACATATCAGTGAAACTTTTAAGACAAGGAGTATATTAATCAGATCGCAGTAAAAATGTATATGCAGTAAACACAAAAAGAAAGTCCATCAAGAGGACATAGAACAAATTCATCTTTGAAAGCATTATACAGTACTCTTCAAGTTTCCCATAAGAAGAAAACAATTTTGCAAGATCATCACCACACCCCAGGGCAGGAACATTTCTCACAATCAAAAACCTGCAGCAGATTCCAATAATTTTAAAGTAAAACAAGATGATAATTGATGAATGATGAATTAAAAAAATATAGATGGGACAAACTTGGATTCATCGCAAACCGTGTAGACCCGGATTGCAGAAGGCTCATCTCTGTATCGAGGCATTATGCATTCCTTCACACCCGCAATGGACTAGAAATTGAATATGGAATCAAAAATATCCAAGAAAGAGTTCAATGAAACTAATATCCCTCGAAAAAAAGTTACACATATTACACACTTTGGATCCGTTTGGTGGTTTGCACATAAAATCTTACATGCAAAATGATGCCGTCTAATAAATTTGAGATGCCTTGTTCTAAAAATTAAATTGAGGCCCACGTTAGTATTAAATACTAAGAATTACATCGTATTACCAATATTTATGCCGTATTACCAATATTTATGCCGTATTACCAATATTACTTACTCCGTATTACTCAAAGCAAATGAATACTCATTAATCAATGAAACTGAATAATTACTAAAGTTTACTCATTAAACAAATTAGAGCAGCTGATGAGCTAAAAAATCTACAAGACTTATTCACAACATAAATAATCATTACTTTTGATTCTTGCCTTCTTGGTCTGCAGCTGAACTCATTACTCAAAGCAGTTTAAATAGAGTGAGACCAAAATCGACCAATGAATCAATGGCGATGAATCTCTTATCCAAGTTAAGCTCATAGACAATGAAAATTAATAGATTTTCAGCATTTTTTTAACTTTAAAATCATTAAAATAGCAACTTTTAAATTTACCAATCATGAAAAAAGCAATTTTAACTTCAACAATCATTGCAATATCCAATCAAATGACAGTGGACATAAATTTAACAGAGAAATAGGATTATTTAATAATAATTAATAAACCTGATATCCTCCTACCGCAGGAAATAATGAAGACAAGAAGGAATAAGTGAGATAGAGGCTAGGGTTGAAGTGGAGTTGAAGAAGAATTTCTTATAAGTTTTAACCCTTTTGCAGACTCGCATGGAAGATTGAAGAATCTCTGAAGAAGTCACAGAGAATCACTCAAGAATTGAAGAGTGAAGACGAAGAAATGGGAGGGAGTAGGGGCGAATTCTCTAGGCTGCGAATGAGGAGAGGGAGAGGAAGAGATGAAGGCAAACTCGCGGGAAATTTAGGAAGGGTTTTTCGATTTCAATACTATCATGCTCCTGGTAATGTGTTAAAGCAGTGCTAATAAAAAAGTTGACTGTATCTTTAACAAACAGAAGAATTCCGTTAACCAAAGGCCAGAACAAGATCGATTATTCTGGGTTGGGAAACTGAACGGGCGTTTTCTGTGAAAAGTTGTTTCCATTCAAGTTTACCCAATTCCAAAAATGGCTATGGGTACCCCATCTATACCCATTTCATACCCCCCATATAAAAACTCTCTTTTTTACCATCCTTTTTACCCCTTTTCTCTCACATCTCTTCTACACCACCCACTCTCTTCTTTTACGTCAAAACACTCCCCCCTTCATTCGTTTGAAGCTGCTACAGTACACAAGCCAACCTCCGCAAACTTTCCTCCATCTTCTTGGATGGATATCATGGGGACTGAGGTGCGGCATTTGGACGAGTTCAGTGGGTAAAAGTTCAAGTGAATGGTTTGACATGGGGAGATGACGTGGGTGATGGCGGTAATCCTCCAGCTCCAGTGGGTTTTGAACTGAATGCGACTTCAAGGGAAGAAGATGAAGAAGGTGTGGAAGTTGAAGCTTTGGAGAAGAGTATGTTGGTTTTTCTCATTTATTGGTTGTTGAGGTTTATTCCTTCAACCCTTGGACCCAACACGTAAGCCCAAAGATTTCGAGTGGAGTGAGTATATGAATATCTAGCCCAACAGCTATCAGATGGATCAGGAAACAAGAGTAATAGCAGGCAATGTAAATAGGTATTATTAACTTCGTAATAACTCCCCTAAGTACAATCTACTTGCTAAAAAGGGCACGTCGGCCGTTCGTCTTACAAGGCAGTTAGAAATGCTGCGAGTAAGAATGCTGAAGCTAGTATGCTAAGAATAGAAAGTTGCCAACCCTTTACAATGAAATAAATGCTTCTATTTATACCCGCCAATGGGCAGGTAGCCATGCTGACGTGGAAGCCTGTGGACCGCTTGTGTCCCAACCACCAAATCTTCAGCATTAAATGCACTTCCCGCCAGAATCTGGGTTTCCCGCCCAATCAGTGGGGACGTTCGTCCGCCCGGGAAGTGAGTTGGATCGCCCCAAGTGACCCTCAGGAGATACCGGCTGTTCGTCTCCTGGCCTTATAGATATTCACCATGTGGGCTGGGTTTCCTCCGATGACCACAGGCTTGCCCCGGAGACGTTCGTTGCCATCCCGTGGCCCTGCTCCTTGTCCCTGCACAGACGTTCGTAGGGATGAGCCGCTGGGCCTGAGCCCCCAACACCAGACGTTCGTCCATCCTCAAGGGACATGGGCCTGTGGGCTGGCCTGGTGTTCTAACTGGACGTGCGTCTGGCAATATGGGTTAGTGGGCCGGACCTCGGCTTGGGCCCTTAACCCAACACAAGTCCCCCACTTCTGATGTTCTGGGCTCGCGCAGGACGTAAGGAAGTAGGAATCCCCTCAAGGTAGACGTTCGCGTCTTGATACTTGTGTTTTCTGCACCCGTTGGAAGCGTACGCTCGTGGTCATGGTGCTTGACAGCTGTCGACGGTTCAGGAAACGAGGTGACGGATGATGTTGCGGCGGAGCAGTTCCCGAGGAAATGTCATCATTATGCTTTCGCCCCACGCACAGCGCGTGGGTCGGAATACGCTCCTTGCCACGTGTCAGCCCCTCGTTGGTTTCCCCATCGGTGTTTCTCCTATAAATGCCGGGTTTTCCCTCTGAATTAGGGTTCCCAATCTTTGCTCTCTTGCTTTCGACTTTCCGCAGCTCTTCAAGTCTTCTTCCCCGCTTCCGAATTCGGCTAACCCCCTTGTAAGGTAATTTCCCCCCTCTGCTTCTTCTCTTTGTTCTGATTCCTAGCCGAAATGACTTCGATGGAGATTTCGTCAAGCTCTGGCTCCGGTTCATCAGGTTCCTCTTCAGGTTCCTCTTCTGACAATGCGAATGCGCGCTCCCTGGGAAAAGCTAGCGTTTCCGGAACTTCGGGTTCGGCCACGACGGTGGGAACCATCCGGGCTGATGGTGAGCCGGATGGCGCTTCCCAAGGTAGTGGGAGCGGCGCCAGGGATGGGGATGCTGACGGGGCAGTAGATGTCATTGACGCAGTCCCCCTGAACGAGCGTCCCGCTGATTACGATTCTGGAGAGGAGGCCGAATCCGGCTCTGATATGGAGGTGTATGATTTGGGCATCCCTACGGATATGGAGCGCCACATCTGCCCGATCAGGAGCGCCCTTGATCACGACCAAGTCCTCTCCCGCGTGGCCCTCAACAAAATCCGTACTTTCTTCCCCCCGCCGTTCGTCTGGAGCGTGAGAGGCGCCGAGCACGTGATGAGGCGACGCCCGGGGATGATCATGCTTCACCTGGATTCCGTTGAAGCCGGGCTGCGGTTTCCACTTCATGCGTTCTATGTGGAGTTCTTCCATTGTTTCCAGGTGGCCCCGGCGCAATTCATGCCAAATTCTTATAGGTTCATATCGGCCTTCTTGGTGCGCTGCAAACTTGCGGGAGTCGATGCCACTCTGGAGCTTTTCCACTATTTCTACCGCGTCACTCCCCAGAATGCCGACGGGTATCTGAGCGTGGCCGCACGTCCTGGGAGACGGTTGTTCAAGAGCTACCCTTCGTCCATCCACGACTGGAAGAACCGCTTCTTCTTCCTTCGATACGACGGGCCTCCTCTCCCCCTTCGGTGGAATGGCTATCCCCCAAAGATTGAGTCACCGGAGCCGACCGACGATCTGCTTTTGGACGTGGGGAAGGTGTTGGAGGGCGGCGTCCGTCCCATAGCCGGATATCTGACCTTCGAGGCACTCTCCGGGGCAGGCATAGGTACCGCCCGTGTCCCTGGACTCTTTCCACCCTTCGATGCTCGTCTCGGGGCACCGGCGGTCCTGTCCTTCGAGGTGAGTGTCTTATTGTATTCCCCGCTCGTCTTTTAATCCTTTGTTGTTTCTTGCAGGTTCTCCGCCAGATAGAGACCAGATGAATCACGCTGAGTGTCTGAAAACCAGGAAGGCCAAGGCGGCTGCGGCTAAAGCTGCGATGGCGAAAGCCAAAAACGCCCCCGCCTCGGAGTCCAACTCCTCGGCTTCTGATGCTGCCAGACGGACTGCTGAGGGTGAGCAGCACTTGATCGCCACTATGCTGGCTCAGGGTTCCGGGGCCCCCGCTCTCGAAGCTGCCCTTCCTCCGCCGATCGTCTCCACGAAGGCGGCTCCTCAGAAGGGGGTGGAGAAAGCCCCTGAGAAGAAACAGAAGAGGGGCCGCGAGGCAGTCTCCACTGGGCCCCTGCTTGAAGATGCCGTCTCTCTGTCGTTGAGCCGCCCGGCGGAAGAGCTTTGGAGGGAGATGGCCCTCAAGGCCGATCTCGAGCTGCCCAGCCGTTCGTCCTCTGAGGCGACCAGCGCTGCCCTGGCAGCCGCTCTTCAGGTAACTCCTCATTGCTAGATCCGAGTACATTTTTTCCCTGACGTTCATCTCCTGACCGTTACTTTCTCTTCTGTCATCCAGTCTGGGCTTCTAGTCCTCCAGGCTGAAGCCGCCAGGGAGGCCGATCTGAAGGAGGCCAAGGCCAAGGCTGATGCAGCCGTTGCTACGGCCCGGGAGGCCGCCCGTCGAGCTGAGGCGGAGGCTGCAGCCAAGGGGAGGGAGATTGCAGCCCTGCAGGCTGAATCCCGCAGCCAGTTGGCCGGTCTTGAGAGAGCCGGTTTCAAGCTTGTTCCGGTGCTCCCTGCCGCCAAGGATACCACTCCGGAGTGGTTGGTCGACACCTCCGGCTACAGGAACACTGGGGAATTCATGGATTCTGCCAAGGATTATTGCGCCGGAGCCTTCGGTGATGTGTTCTCTGCGGCGCTGGCGAAGATCCCACCCCGGCAGCGTCTGGCGAGCGGGGTCCGGATTTTGGAGAGCTCCCCCTTGTCTCACAAATTCCTCTATGAGGTCGGCGACAGCAGCTTCGCCGCCGGCTACAACGAGGGGGTCAAGGCCACTCTCCCCATTTTCTCGAGGTTGCAAGGGGCTGATTTTGAGCTGGCTGCGAACACAGACGACGACCTGCTGCTTCAAGCCTTGGGGAAGTTGGGGAGAGACCAACGGCGGGAGGAGGCCAAGGCCAGAGGGGAAATTCCGGAACCCCCGTCCCCCGAGCCCGAGGAAGAGGAGGAGGAGCCGAACCAGGGCGGCAGCCGACCGGAATCCCCTTTCTTTGTATAATGTAGTTTGTACTTTCCCATTCTAGCTTTTGTAATGTCCGGCCGTCAGAGCCGAAGAATACAGACGTCTTTTGCCCATAATTGTTCTATGTTCATGATTTCTACTTGTTATTTTCACTCCCTTTGTCTTTTGTTGTATGGAAACTCCCCTCGTGTCTCGATATATTCCGTTGCATAGTCTGCGTGGACGTTCATCTCTGTTCCCCAATTGGTTCGGGGGCAGGGGCATCTCCTTGCCAAAACCCCGTACACATTTAAGTGCGCGGCGCCAGTGCTAAGGTCCGTCTTCGGATGGCGACACTCGGCGCCGATGCTGGCTGTTCCTCTTGCAACAGCATTCTGATGGCAAGACGACGTTCGTCGGGGGTTGGCCTAACAGCACACTTTGCAAGTGCGGTCAAACGCACGTCGGAGATTGCCTCAATGCTTGCTAACGACGTTCGTCTACTGTTGCGTGGCATGAATGCCCAAGCTTCGAGCGAGGATGTCCGTCTGTTCTACATGTTCAAATGGCATGGAGTGTGGAAAGGCGAACGTAGCCATTTGATGCGTGCGTCCCCTGCTGGTAAGCTAAGGACATGATTTTTATTTCATCACTTTTATGTCCTCCATCGTTGGTAGTATGAGAAATCCTTTCGGCGTCTCGACACTCCTCTGTCGCATGGCGTCCTCCTACCGAAGCCGGCTTGCCGCCCACACGGTATTCTGACAATGGGAAGACGTTCGTCGGTAGCTGCCTTGACAGTACACTTCTCAAGTATGGACATATGGACGTATCTCCCTGAACCAGCGCTCGGTGACGACGTTCGTCGACCGTTGAGTGACATGAAAAACCGGGGTGCTGCAAGACGAACGTAGCCGGTTGATGCGTGTGTCCTTATCAGCCGCCGATGTTAGGGACAGCCGGGGAATTACGGAAATATGGAAAGACGAATGTCTCCAAACCCCTCCGAGCCGGTAAGCCCTCCTCAAGGGACGTTCGTGGCATGGA